TCCTCCTGTAAGAAACAGGCTTTTTCAAATTTTTTTCTCGTATAAAAAATTAAATATTTTATAAGAATTTTTTATTATATGTTACAATCATGCACTATTAACAAAGAAATTCTGTAATTTTTGGAAAACAAAAAGATTTCGGCCATTGCAACGCCATTTTCCGGACCCTTCGGAAAAAACATGCATCCGCGTTGCTATGATAACTCCTTACAGGATCATCTAAAATGAAAAACATAAATGTTTTAGTTAAACCCTTAACTTAGAACTTGAACGAAGGAAAAAACACGGAAAATTGGATTTTTGGCAAACATTTTTTCCAAAAAAGAAAAAACTGAAAATTTCAAGACATTTTTTACAAATAGTTGTAATCGAAAAAACAAACTCTTTGTCCAAGTCTTTAAAAATTGTATCCCACAGGCCTGTGTAAAGTAAAGTCATAAAGATCGGTTGAGTAGTTCTCGAGAAATCTTCAAAAACACAGTTTCGTGAAAAACGCGTTTAAAGACGGCTTAGCTAGCCTCGAGCGCATAATCTCTCAAGGCTGGACCTACGAAACTATTGCTCTGATCAACTTGAAAATTTAAGACATTATTCGATTTTTTGAAACCCGTTAACCCTTGTAACCCTTCAAGTTAGCACCATACTTCGAAGTTAAGATGCCATGGTCTGCGGTGAAAGCAGAAACAGGCTGTGTTGTGCATCTTCTGTCGATTGTTTAACTAAAGTTTTGAAATCGTTGGAGTATTGTGACGGAACTTATTTGAACGCTAAGAAACTCTAGCCGTTTTGGTTACACTTTTAGTAATAACAGCTAGCGTCGACAGATCATTTTCTAATATGAAGAAAACGGTTGATGACGCACGAATGAAGTCCTTAAAATTGTATCGCTAAAAAATCGGAAGCAACCTCGCTTCTCTAATAAGAGGCACCAAGAAGAAAATTATTCCGCTTTAAGTATCCTTACTGGCAAGTCAGATTGCTATGTAGTATCACTTTCCGAAAATCGTTTCCTATTTTTTAGAGGCTATGACACTATGACTCTGTTCTGGCACTCTTCAATTTCATAAATTAGAATTATTCGAGCTGCTTCGGAGTATTCTGAGTATACATGTATAATGAAAATTATTCACCTTCCACTTTCTGGGGCAATCTAAGTGAAACGATTGGTGCGTAGAAATCGAAGAACCACTTCTAAATAAATTAATTGAACTAACTGTCTGCTCTTTAGGCTAATTTGACTACAATTAAACTGTAAATAATAAATTGACTTTTATTGGAAGAAGGTTTGTTTTTTGAACGAATTTATTAATTGTAATAGTTTGATTGATTTCGACTGTGGCACGCGTGCCTTTCCATTTTGCCGCTTAACCCGTAAAGCGCCACTTGTGGCTTGCCTTTCCCCATGAATCCCAAGCGCCACATAAAACCTGTATCAATCGTCAAATAATGTATATTTAACTGTAGTAATTCCATTTAAGACGCCCAAAAGGCATTGGGGCGCGCTGTTGCTGCGAGTATAATTAATTTCGTGCGGCATTGTCTGGTCGCTTGCCACATGTGTTGCAACACCAACGCCAAACTTATGTGTACATATAATTACACATTACACATATAGTTATGTGAGTGTAGTATACCCAAACAATAGCGGCATTGGCACATGCCCTCTAGGAAATTATTCATTAAAGTAGCTTTTAAATAGTTTGCTTAACTTTTTCGATTAGTGACAACATCGAACATACTCCCAACTGCTTATTTTTCTTCCTTTGACAGCTTCAATCAGTTTTTTCTATTTCAAAGGGCACCTAAACTGACTGCCTAAAAGCTAAAAACTATTTACAAATATTGAGGTAAATTTATACCCATTTTCAGAATACACTGTTAAATTGTTTAAGAAAAAAATAAAAAAATAGCGAGTTTCAAAAAAGTTGACTTCTACCCAAAATGTTGGTCGTTTTTTGATAGCACATTGTGTGTAATTGCATACCTAATATATAGACGGAATTAAATAGTGATTGGATAGTTTTTATCTGAGTATTACTCAAGCAAATTTGAAAAATATAGTTTTGAGAAAAACGCGTATAAAAATGAACGGAAGGAGCTGATTTTATTAAAGCCGTGCACTCAAAACCTTTTAAATTGTATCTGTGTTACAGGCCCCTTTAGAAACGCAAGTCTTTCAGTGGTCTCCATTTTTGCATGCTACGAAAGTACTTCATCTTAAATACCCGTACTAACTATAACTCCAACCGATGGTTTAGAAAAGAGAGAGCGGAATCGAATCATCGAATTTAAAACATCAAAAAGTTTGGTACATGAACTTAAAGGACATTTATGTTATCATACATATGTCGGTCAAAGCTGCTTCGATATCTTACATTCGTAATGGATATAGCATATCCCCCTCTTCCAGTTTATATAACGGAGTTTTCAATAGAGACGCTACAAAAGTGGACCAATAAAGACAGCAGGCGAAGCCATATTTTTCACACTCTTTTGACATTTCTCTTCAGTAAGGTTTGCCATTTCATCATGAAAAGATTATGCAAACCAACAACGAGTGGAAATTATTAATAATTTCTACCGAAATTCGGAGTCAGTGGCCTCCACTTTATAAGCTATGTCCAATTTATGGTCGTCATAATCGTCCTGCCAGATCAACAATTGAGCGTCTAGTGGGTAAAATTTGAACCCACAGGCATAGTACAAAAGGTTTTCGTGCCAGTGAGACAAAGAAGTGCCTCTAGTGTTGAGAATATTGCGCTGCTAGCATATCAATTGAGGAAGACCCAAATCACTCTCTCACACGTCGTTCTCAAACGTTGGGCATCTCTGTGACGTCGTTGTGGCGATCTTGTCCTACATCCTTACAAGATCAAATTGACGCAAGAACTGAAGTCGCTTGATCACTAGAATCGTCGTATGTTCGTGAATTGGACAGAGCAACAACTTGAAAATAATCCGGAAGAGCGATGAGCCTCATTTCTGGCTAAATGGCTTCGTCACTAAGCAAAATATGCGTTATTGATCAGGCAGCAATTCACACGTTCTCCAAGAGTCACCATTGCATTCCGATAAAATAACGGTTTGGTGTGGTTGATGTGCCAGCGACATCACTGGGCCGTATTTCTTCCGTGATCATCAAGACCAGCACGTTACTGTGAATGAGAATCGCTCAATGATAATCAAATTTTTGGCCCGATTTGGATGATATGGACTTGGAATATATGTGGTTTTAACAGGACGTCTCCACAAGCCACACAATCGATTTATTGAAAACCAAGTTTGGTGAGCGTTTTATTTCACGAAATGCCGCCTTGGTCGTACGATTGTACGCCGTTAGACTATTTCCTGTGGGGCTATGCCAAATCTATGGTCTATGCAAACAACATTGATGAACTTTGTGAAATTGTAGCAGTATAAGCGGACTTATGTTTTAAAACCGTCGATGATTGGGTTCAGCGCCTGGACTTCTGCAAGCGTGCCCATGGTGACCTTTCAAAGGAAATCGAGTTCCATACATAATGCCATCGAATGTACTTTCACAGAAATAAAGAATTTCATTGATATCCCGAGCCGTACTTTTATAGAAAAATCCGTTACCTAGAAATGCACCGATATTCGTATACCGTGAGATTTTCACATTAATTCAAGTCTTGCGTCGGCTATCAGAATTTTAATATTCCGATTTTATTCCACGTTGTTTTATAAATAATACATAGGAGTTTAAATCTTTACTTGATGTTTAATGCAACTCAAATTAACTACTCATAAATATTTTTAAATTTACACATGTAGTATTACAAAGTAGTAGAACGCACCTCTAAGCTTTACGTCGCAACGTACACAGTTAGGTTCGATTAAATTAAACTAGATTAAGAGTGAATATTTTTTTAATTTGTTTATGCTAATTGAGACCCGATAAAATTAATACATAAATAACCTAGATTTGTTCGTTATATATACATATATCAAATTTAGTCTCATTTATTTTGGTTTTTATCAACAAGGGTTGTAATAGCTTAGGCGAAGTTAGAGTAAACGATCTCTAGATCTTTGAACATAATTTTTATGATGTAACGTTAAATCGGAGAATAATTCAGAATTGTCATACTAACAAAACTACATTTAAAACAGAATTTCATTTAGTACTCGTATTTGACTGCTACTCTTGGGATTGGTCTATCATCTTAAGCTAACTCATAAATAAGTGAGTCAAACCGCTTTCAAACCTGTATATTTACCACTCAGAACGAAGCTATATCATATCAGTTCACTCATACCTTCTTTTGACCTTAAGTTACTCTTGAAGACTTTCCTGCCAGCACCACGAAGTGTAGGGGTGCGTACCTACGCACATGTGGTGCGCATAATGCTAATATACATATGTTTCTATGCATCATCGGGCACCGCCATCGATAGACCATCAGTTTCACAAGTTCATCAACGCCTTCCGAAGTCTAAACGCCCCAGCTGACTTATGGCGCGCCATGGTATGCCCCACTATTGTCGAACATGTCGTTGTTGTTATGCTTTCGTTTCATTTGTTGCTGTTATTGCTTACTATTTTTTTTTTTTTAGAGTTTGAATGTTTTTATTGGTGTGCTTGTGTGTGTTAGAGTGCTGTTTTGTGCACCAGCTTACGCTAACTCGAGCTGGTCGCGCGCTTAACCATTTCAGTTCACTATTGAAGCGCGCGTCTTAGTGAACAGTTCGTGGCCAGCTACAACGGGCTAGCTTGGGCAATAAACATTTTTGTGGCACACAAAGTTCAAATTAGGCGAAAAAAGAAATTTTTCAAATTTCGACATACCTGATTTCGAGTTGTAAGCGCAAAGAAATTGTTAAGTGACTGCCTAGTCAATTATACAAAAGATTGCGCAATAATTTGAAGTCGGCTTAAATAGAACTGTTTGTGATTTGAAGATATTTTCTAATAACTAAAAATTAACTCTAATAGGAATATCTAATATAAATATTTAAGCACAAAAATTTAGGTATAATAATTTATGACGAAAAAATATTTCAAAATCAGTAAACGCAAAAACACCTTTAATCAACGGAAAATTGTGTGAAATCTTCCTATTAACTCAATGATTTAAGCCGCGCAGTATCTTGTTGACTTTTATTGTTGTTGTGGTTGGGATCAATCAGTGTCAGGCAAACAGACAGAGTCAATATTATAATAATTGTCCAATTGTGAGCGCTGCCATAATAGCAAATCCAAATAACGGCATTTATAGGCAGCAAAACAGCTCTAACGCCAGCAAGCAAACACTTCACACACGCACATACATATTTACATATACATATATAAATGTAAACACAAAATTGAAAAAAAAAAAACAAAATTACAAAAAATTGTTAGGCAATTCTTCACTTATTAACGACTAAAGGAGTCTGTCTGAACGGCGTATTTTCCCTTAGCCCTTGTAGACAAGACTGCTACGAGTATTGTTGTGTGCGAAAACAAAAAATTAACATAAAAATCTGTCAGTCGGTGTCGATTTTGGTTGCAGAGCTTACCTGTAAATCCGACGTGCGTCCGTCCGTTCATCCGTTGCTGTCTGCCCGTTTGTCGTCTTGTCTGGCAGAGCTCCTTAGCTTTCATGCGGCGCATGTCTTTGAAGTCTGCGTTTGTTTGCCTGCCCAGACGCTACTCTATTTTTGTGTTTCTGTCTGTGTGTGGGTATACTTGGCAGTTATTTTTAAATACACAGCTGTGTTTATTGTCTTCTCGCAGTACAACAAAGTGTGCTAGAAGCCAACTTTAGGTTAAACCGACACGTCGCGGAGGCATTGCAATCTCGGTAGCTGAACTACTAGTTTATGTGCGCATTGTGTAAGTGAGTGACCGTCAAAACTCGGTGTCATTAAAACAAACAAACAAGCGGCAAAAGTCAAGTTAAATTACTTGGCTGGCAGTTATGGCCGCAAATCTTGCAGTTTCTGTTGAAAAATTTGCGTATTTCTTAGAAAAAATGCAGACTTACAATTTAAATGCCGCGACGCTGCTCGCTTTAATGTGCTGCAATGGTAAGTTGAGAGAAAATCAAATCATTAAAATATATATCCGTGTGTGTGTATGTGTTATTTTTAATTGCATTTTGGATAATTGCGCTTGCAGAGCTTTACTTAATGATCTTCATAGTTCGCAAAAAATTTGTTACAAATAAATTTACGACCAAATCCAGCGCAGATTAATGCATGAAGACATTTCCCCCTCAATACATCTTCTTCCAAAATCCATCCGAAATGAACCAACGAAGGCCAAGCAGACACGGTCTATTTTGAGAGATTTTAGAAGAGATTTATTTTTGCTGTTCAGCAATATCAACACTAGACAAATTCAAACGAGCTGCGCGTTTCTACTTGTTGCTAGCCTTAATTTAGTTAAATAATCACATAATTTTTTACGTTCTTTTTGTTGGGGAAAATTTGATTACTTTTGTTAGTAAATAAGGTCACACAGGTCATCTAAAAAGAAAATATAAAAAAAGTTAAAAATTAGTCCAACGTCTCCTTCCATTCGATAGCCATAGTGTACGTAGGTCATATTGTCCAGACCAAACAATGTTTTCAACATTTACCTCATACGACGAATTCTTTTTTTAAGCTATAATTGCCTCATCGTCTTATTTTTTTTTCTTAATTAATCATTTAATTGGTCGGCGCCAAAGTAGAGCGTATAAGTTGATTGACTGTTGACCTTTTGGTCTGTAGTTTTCAACTTCGGTCAATAAAAAATTGAAATTTTTCTTTTCATGTGACTACCAACGATTGGTGGGGTATCCTTACCGCACTCACTTCGGAAGGCGATAAAGTTGGATCCCCGTTGTCATATTACGTTCTACCACTAGAGCTATGGATTTCGCTGAGCAGACGTTGGTTACCAACTTGGCTCTGCGCGACAGACTTCTGGCTTAGAAAAAAACGCATGAGATGTATTGAATTATTTGCCTTTAGCACAGTGCATTTTGCTACAAACGTAGAAGTTCTTACTTGACATATTTAATTGGCAAAATCCAATCGCATTCTATCACTTTCTAGCACAAAATGAATTGGGCAATTCATGAAGGTCTTTATGCGCAATAGGAATTCTAGGTACCACAAAAGACTGGCTATAAGCAGTCTAAAAAACTTGTTACGATCGAACTTTTAACCTAATCTTGATAAATAAATGAGGATTGCACCATTACTTTAGGACTATTGTGCCCAAACCTATACATACAGTTGCTAGAAGAAATTCAACTGTGAAGGGTATATGTAATTTAGATACAGTGCAGCCGAAGTTAACGTTTTTTCTTGTTTTTCATTATTAAATGTTGTCACAGTTTACTGTTGCCTTGAAAACAACATTCAGGTAGACTATTCGCCTCGACATGCTTAGTTCAGTGTTTCAATTTATTTTATTTGATGTAATTAAAAAAAAATTGGAAAAGTATCAAATGATCTCTTCGATTTCGATGAGCTACTCGCTTATCTCTTGTTCCTATTATTTAATGATATTTGATAGTTAGGTATGGTTAGGTTAGACGGCTGATCTAGAAAGAGCGGCCGTGCACTGCTATATGTAGTATTTCATAAAGCCATAGAAAAGAAGAACTTCTGCCTTCGAACTTATAACTAGCAAAACGCTTAGCAGCCAATAAAAGTTTGCACATCCATTTAATTTTCATTCTCGCCAGTTCATTTTGAGCCCTAGATATTTCACTGTATTCGCCGGTTGCAGACGGATGTCTCCCATTTGGCAGCGGTGCCATCGAAATGTTGTATCCTCTAGTAAATAAAACAATCTCGGGTTGATCGCGGAACCACTTCCCAGCAGCAATGATCCTCAAGTTTTTTAAGCAGGTCGTTAACGACCAGGAACCATAGAAGAGGAGAAAGAACTCCACATTCTGGGTTTCGCCTTCTAATATTTCGTCGTGCATATGCATCCGTATCAATCACGTATAGTACTCCCTTGTATCTTTAAGTATATATTCCAACCGGCTTTGGCATGCTTAAAAGAGTTTAAAGAGATTCTTTGAGCCCTTGATATTATCAACTTCCAAATTATTGGAATTTATGATTTGTGTAACGGTAGACGACACTGAGCTGACAATAACCTCATAGAAAGGTTAATATACAATTCCGTGCAAAATTTTATAGCTGCAAAAGGATACTATAAAATTGGACGTACAACATTTTCATGCCACTTAACGTTACATAAGTATGTCGGCACACCTATACATATTATATGATATTATATGAATATACATATAGATACACATAAACTGTTTGCAAGCGCAAAGCGACGCCAATGATCACCGTCCAATGAACCAGCTCTCACGAAAGGTGGCACAACACACAACACTGCAACTCGTAGCTGCAGAAAGAAATATGTTTCAACATTCGCTGCACGACACCAATTAACACGACGACAGATACGCCATTGCAGTCACAGTCGCATTGATGGTCACAGTACCTGGTGCCAGTGACAGGCAATGTTATTTCCATTTGCCAATTTTCAGCCTTTGCTCCAGGAGTGCATACAAATAGGTGTGTGTATGCAGGCCAAACGTATGAGTGTGTGTACGATGTTCAAATAATCCACTGTGATTGTGACAAAACTAGTCAGCAGTGTCTTTCTGGCCATCAGGATGCAGTCACCCAGACGGTTGGTCAATCTACGATTTGCAGTTAGTGCGAAATTCGCAATTAGATACGCGTGAAATATACGAAAACAACAAGAGCAACAGCATGAGATAAAAGCAAATAATAAAAGACAGCGAAAGCAAAAGGTTACTACAAGCGATGGCTTGGTCTTTGGCTGCTCTGGGATGCGTGTTGAACAACAACAGTCGTTGTGGTGGTTAGCAATGTTAACGTGCTTTGAGTATGAGTTCGCCTGAAACAAAGCGCATTGTTTGCAGTTAAACTGTTTCGCCTGAGCCGCTCTGCACTGCGATAGTCAAACGATGTTAGCGTTTAGCGGCTTAATTTCGATTTTTTTCAAAGATTTGTATGTTTGGGACATTAAGGTGGAAAGAAAATTCGATTAGGTTCTGTTTTTACAGTAGTAATTACGCAAATCGAGATATAATTTTCTGAATTATGTCGTTGCTTTTAGGCATGCCTATTTCCAACAGTTTTGTTTTCATATAACAAATGAGTTAATTTGTCACAATTTTGAACCTGTCAAAGAACAACATTTGAAAAATATTTTGAAAAATTTTTGTACAATTGATTTTTAGAAATTCGAATATCCTCGCGGTGGTCAGCATAACCCACGTAGTGGAGGTCTACCTCTTCCTCTGCTTCCCATGGTAGGTATTGCGTCGAATACTTTCAGAGCTGACCTGACCAACGTAACTGCTGTCCCTTAATTCGCTCAACTATGTCAATGTCGTCCTATATCTCGTACAGCTCATCGTTTCGCCCATAAATCTTCGGCAAAACTTTTCATTCTAACACTCTTAAGGCCAACTCATCAGATGTACTCATTTTCCATTTCTCTGCACCATGTAGCTGGACGGTTGAAAGACTTGTAGAGTTTGGTCTTTGTTCGTCAATTGCCTCTTAAAGCTGACGTTGTTGTTGTTGTTAATGCTGGTTCCAGATAAACGAAAGAATCTACGACTTCAAAGTTATGATTGTCAACGGTGACGCGAGAGCCAAGTCGCAAATGCGATAACCGTTCATTTAATGACAGGAGATATTTCCTCTTGCTCTCGTTCATTACCATACCCGTTTGCTTCACTTCTTTAGAGAATGAAGTTATCTGTGAAAGTTCACCTAAATATGGAATTGAGAGTGGGCAGAAACGATTCTGTTACATATGGCTCAAGCAGCTCACGACTTCCGCTCATGGGCCAAATATCCTCTGCGTAGCCAAACAACATCCGCCTGTTCTCCCCAGGGTTGTGCGCTGACTTTGGGACTATGAAAAGAACACAACAGATTGAAGTAGCCGACAGATTGCCTTGAAATTTTGAAAAATATTAGCATATGGAACTCAACATTATGGGGGATAAAAAGAGAGTCAATTAATGAAATTGTCACAGTTTGATCGACTGTGCAACAACTTGAAAATGATCATTTTCATCGAAAAATCATTTTTAGCGATGATTCTCATTTCTGGTTGAATGGCTCGGAAAAGCAAAATATGCGTTATGGGCCGGTGGCGTCATTGGACCGTACTTTTTCCGTGATGATCAGGGCCGGCACATTACTGTGAGTGGGAATCATTACATTCAATGATAACCGAATATTTTTGGACTGAATTGAATGATAGTGATATGGACTTTGACAATTTATTGTGCCAACAGGACGGCGCCACAAGCCACAAAGCGAAAATCACACGAAAATTACCTGAGCAATTTGACGCCGTTCGACTATAACAGCATCAAGTGTACTTTCACAGGAATAAAGAAACCGTCACCAGAGGACCCTAAACGACGAAAACGACGCCATTAATAAATATACAATTTAGAAAATATATCAAATCGGCACTTACAGCGGTACAATAACACGATAATTTCAGAGCAATTACAAATAACGGTAGACATCAACTGTTCAACATAATTTCAAATACCCAAATTACATATAAATTTATACATATTTAACAAAAAATGTATACAAAAGCACAATGCTGTCAATATTCCCACTTCAAAAAAATTCCCAACGCTGCAAAAAAGCATCGATGACGCTACACATCCGCTTTGCATTCCCCCTCAAACGTTTATTAATCAGCGGCATAACAATCAACTATTGTTACATTTAAAGTTATCTACATCTATACATACTCGTACATAAATATAATGACGTGGCATTTATTTGGAATTTGTTGCTTTTCACACTTGCATCAAATCATCAGCGAACAGCGCAAGCTTTTTAACATACTCATTCGAGCCGATATGCTATATTTACGTATCTAATTAATGAATCCACATACATATATGCATACATATGTGCCCAAGTATGACACAGTCAATTTATAGAAAAAATATTTAATGTTCGGCCAAACAAAGTAAAAAAAAAAAAAAACAAAT